AGGAGTAGACTTATCTGCTTGCTGTCTTGGGTTGGGCATTGCGAAACTATGAGTGACACTGTGCAAATAAGACATAGGAAGACTCCCTCTGCCTGTATCTACCCTAGCTGCATGCACCATTACTTCCTTTACTTGGGTAGATAAATTTACTTGAAACCAGATTTTTTTTTTTTATGTTGAAGTTTTTGTAAAAACTGATCAGTGCGTTTCTGGTGATCAGGGAATACCTGAATTATTTTTTTCCATTTTTCTGGAAAGCGTAACTTGTTTGCTTTCCGTTCTTCCTGTCTGTGTGCCTGCCACCTGTAGATGTCTGTTCAACTCATGAACACAACCTTGATGTTCCCAGCCTCTGTCCAAGAGCCAGCCTCACCCTGTTACCGAGCAATCACAGAGTTCGCATGTACAAAAGGTTGTGCCATGCAGACTCTGCCCGTGGGTTTTGGCGGTTCCTCCAGAAGCCGCTGTGTCACATGGCAGTCCTTGATTGTTAACTGAATGTATGTTGGTTGAGGAAGGAGGTAGGTAGAGAAGGAAGTGGTGTAGAGTCACCTCTGCTTCTGGCAGAGCTTGTGGCAGGCAGAATTTTAGTTCAGCTGTGGGTTGTCGTAACATGCAGGTTGCTCTTCTGTTGCAGCTGCACTGGGAGAATTCCCCAGACAATGCCTTTTGCTCACCCATGGTGCTTCCCTAAGGCAGCGGAATGAAAACAGAGATGGTGATGCATTTATCCATTTATATAGTTTCTATGCACACCTTTTCATTTAGTGTCTTGCCAGTTTTCTGAGCTCTTACCTTTGTCCCTCAAAGCCCCGTCTGCCTGTTTGTAGTCTCTCCAGGCTCACCCACTGCCGTTGTGTGACTGAGCAGCACGCTGCTGCCCAAGAGCAATGCAACTCTTCCTTAGGGTTGAGGTTTTCTATTCCAGCTTGCCAGTGACTCAGGCATTGCATTTTGGTTTGATTCGCTCATGCCATTAAAATAAAATTTTCCATGCGTTTGTAACAGCTGAAACATTGAGGGGGGGGGAAAAGTAACAAAATAAATAATGTTTGTTTTTTGACAGTTTCAGGCTTTCTTTGTCAGAACTGGAAAGCTCATTTAAACTGACACTTTTGTTAGAAAATTTCTTAAGGAGTTTTTGCAACTTGAGAATTCCCGATTAGAAGAAAACTATCAAAAAATCCAGGCAAGGTCCAGACTGAGACATTGAAAGTGTGTTGGTCTCAAGAGTAACTCAAGCATTTCGGAGTGCATAAAGATGATAAATTGTGAAGTTTTAAAAAATGCTTTGGGACTACACTTTAAAATGTTTTGTAAGTCTGGGATTGTTAAAACCTTCAAATTAAAACAGTTTCACTTAACAAATTAAGACAGTGTGACTCTTAGTGTGTACTGCTGGAAAGCTGCTCTGGGTTTTACGGCTGGTTGCAGATGCAGTGAGAAGTGATCCAGGATTTTTTGTTGCACTCCCGCAGGTTTGGTCACTTTTTCTTTTGGATGGTTAGTGAGCTCTCTATCTGCCTGAGGTTCAGTGGGTGGGACAAGGCCTTGTAATCGCCTATGGACTGAAGCCACGGAAGCATATGATGATAAAGATGGCATCCCTGGGAGCCCTCATGCTGAACTCAGTTGTCTTTCTATCTAGCAGTGAAAGTGAAGTGGACAAGTAAACCAAGAGAAGTTTTTTCTTCCCTATACTCTGCAGTCTTGTTTGACTCCACCTGGAATACTGTGACTGGGCTGGGGTCCTCCAGTACAGGAAAGATGAATTCAGCTGGATTGAGTTCAGCAGAGTGCCACCATTGGGGCTGGAGCTCTTGTCCTCTTGAGGAGAAGCCAAAGTACCTGGGCTTGTTCAGCCTGGGGAGGAGATGGCTTGGGTTAGGAATACCTCACAGCTGCCTTCCCATACCTCCAAGGATGTCGTCAAGAAGATGGAACCAGGCTCGGTAGTGATGTGCATGGTGGGAGAATGAGACAATGGGCATAAATTGGAACAAGAGAGGTCTTGCTGTATATAGGGTGGGAAATCACTATGGGGATAATGAAGTGTTGGAGCAGGTTGCACAGAGAGATTATGTTGTCTCCACCCGTGGAAGTTTTAAAGACTCAACAGCATAAAGCCCTGAGCAGCCAGGCCTGAATTCAGTTTTTACACAACTTTGGGCAGGAGACCGGACTAAAAACCTCTGGAGGTCCCTTCTAGACTTATGATTCTATAAATCTGTTTCCAGTTGTCCATTGGTCTCTATATCAAGTTTAGCGTGTGAGATCTGAGTCAGAAACCCCCATAAATCATAGATAAGTGAGACAGTCTCAGCCCAAGGGAGAGTATTTCTTGTCACTTAATATCTACCATTGTTGCAGTCAGGAGAAACTCTAACTATAGAAGAGAGATCTGTTGGCTACCAGGATATTTTATATAAGAATCCTGAAAGTTTTTCACTATTTTCTTCCAAAAAAACCTATAGCTGCTGACTTTCTGCCCGTACAGGGAAAGATGGGTATGCTGTGTCAGGACTCTGGAAACAGCTGTAGGTTTGGGTGGTTGTGTTGGTTTTTTTGTTTGTTTGTTTTTTTTTTCTTCCCCCACAGTAGTGAAGGTGTGGAAATAACCTTTTCTTATGTAGCTGTCTGGAAGATCGTATGCCTGTTTGGTTGTTTTAATGCTGATGGTTTTCCTCCTAAATATGTCTGAAGGTACCTAAACCTTTGTATAAGTTAATGCGTTATTCCAAAAAAGTGCTATATTCTCTTCTACATTTGCTGTTGGAGATGGAAAGATGGGGAGCATTTAGTGAGAGAGCAGGGGGGAAATGGGTTGGACTTGTTCAGAAGTAGCGTGTTGGCACAGACCCTTCAAAAGCTTGTTCTCTTCTGGGATCTGGGCTCCTGAGAGGGGTGTGATCACTGGATGAACTCCTCTTTTCTGTCTTGTTCTGTGTCACTGCAGTGTGGCCTGGATTCTCAGGGGAAGGACTGCATGGTAGGCCGGTTCCAAACTCTGGGATTTTCCTTTTGTGCTCACTGTACAGGGTTGGGAATTAACGTAACTCACGTGAGGAGAGGAAAGACAGTGACAAGAAAGTATTTGAGCCCTAACCTTGTGATTTTGAACATGGTTATTGACTTCCACAGGCCTTGGTGTGGGGTTTTTTGTGGTTAGCAGTCAGTTCGTTAGCACTGGATTCAAGGACGCTGTACTTTGTGCCTGAGTTTGGAAGACCTGGGCACCGTGTTCAATCTTTCCTCTAATCTTTGTTTGGCCCTCAGTGAATTATTCAATTTCAGCCTTTTCTGTACAATTTTGCTTTATGTACCTTGATTGTTTTTTTTCTTTTTTCAGTAAAGTAGTTCATACTGAGATTACTTGTTCCTGTGGAAGTGCTGGACTGTGCTCAAATGGGGCTTTTGTGTTCCAAGAAATGCCACATGGCTTAACAAGAATATTGAAGTGGTTGACTGTTATGCAATTTAATTTTTTTTTTTAGTATCAATCATCTTTTGGTGAAATAAGAAGTCAGAAATGATAGTGACATGATGACCATATTTTAAATAGACTTGGAAGTGCTTTTGTTTCAGAAATATTAAAGAAGTACTTGGCCAATGTCCAACACTTTAATATTTCATAGGAAACTCCATCCCAATGTTTGGAAACAAAGGTGTTTTACAGGAAGTGTCATGCTTGTCTTCCATCAACATTACAGCTCTCCAGCTCCAATGGTAGTTTGCTTTGAATTCTGAAGACACAGTAAAAACTGATGTTTGATAGAAGTTTTCGTATTGCACTTGCTGTTGGTATTGCTTAAGTGCATCTGATTGCAATACGATTGCAACTATCAATACATTCAGTAAATACAACAAGTGTTACTCAGTTTAATCCATCAAAAGAAAACTCAGATTTTGGCAAATGTTAAGATCACTGTCACTTTTAATGTTCGTCTTTAACCCTCTCATTGTTCAAGGAAGGCTTTGCAAATATTTCTTACTGTACACAGGGAGCTGTAAACCCACAATTTCTTTACTCTTCTTTGAGTGAGTGCCTTTATGCTGAGTATTGAAGACAAAAAATCCAAATCTTGCTCTCGTACAGTAAAATGCCAAGAATTATTTAGCCATTCTAATTTTGGAGGATTTCCAGGATTAATTTGTGTTCTTGCTTTGCTTGCACTTTGCTTCACAGAGCTGGTCAGAATATCCTATCCTAGATGACAGAAGCTGATATGAAATAAAAAATACTATCCAAAGAAACACTTGCAAGAATTGAGGCTTTGTCAATATTTAAAAACAAATAAAAAAAGACTAAACACTTGTTATATAATCTCTACCAAGGCAGAGTAGAGACTGCTGTTTTTTATAGTTGTACTTGGAACTTATTTTAAATTTTATTGCCAAACTAGGTTGGCTTTGGGTGCAGCTGTGCCACAGTCGAAGGTGTGATTGTGACTTTGCATGGCATACTTCAGCTCACTTTGAGCTGGATAGTTTAGGTATTGCTTTCAGCATTGACAAAACAATGTGGAGTTTAGGGCAGGCTGCAAGACGCTCTCTTATGTAGCTGAGCTGGAGGATGTTAAGGCGCCTGTGAGGCTGCAGTCACACCTTGGAGTGCAGCGTGTGAATGCTTCTGGCTTCCCGTACTCCAGCTGGACTGCAAAGCTTGGAACAGGCTGAAGTAAAACCCAGCTGTGTGACTTGTGTGCTTCTGTCAACACTGCTGGCTGGTTGCCTGCCTGAAAACACCCGTGTTGTCCCTGGGAATTTGGGTGTAGACTCTCGGCTTATGGATTAGGCTGCAGTGTGTGAGGGTCAGCCATTTGGTCCATTCGGGCAAAACAGGTGAGTGACTGGGCTGAAACTGGTGGCACGTGTGCTCAGGCTTCCTGCAGGACCATTCAGAGCTCAGACTCGACCCATGCCTGAGGGTTTTCACTACCTTTAATTTTCTAGTAATGGTCTTTGTCTACCTGTCAGACACCAGATGGGGGCAAGTCACGATGAAAGAGAAGGTAAACCTGTATCCAGGTGTGTCAACAAGGCAGACACAGACAGTGGCCTTACTGACAAGGGGTGGTTTCACTGTACCTGATCAAAGTGAGCAAAGCAGGTTTGGAGATGCTAACCAGATTCAAACAATAGACTGCCAGAGGAGTGTACAGCGATGAGGCAAGTCCGAAGTCAAGGAAGGAAGCCAAGTCCACGAGTTTGAGTCAGTGCCTGGGTCAGCAGGGTACTTGACCAGGATGTACATGACCGCAGTGCAGCTGTAATGCAGCTCAGGCAGGGGACAGAGGCAGGAGATGGCTATATGCAGCTGCCAGCTGCAAGGTGGGGGGAGACTCTGCCAAGGCACCTTCGAGCTCTTTGTTGATGAGCTGTGTTCAAGGCTGGTTGAGGTTTCCCAAACAGGGCTCTCAACAGCTGGAACAGTGTCAGAGAACTGGCCCGGAGCACAGGCATCCAGACTCCTCCTGGGGGAGTGTGCTCTTGGTCCAAGCTCTACCTCCATGCAGTTCTGCAAGCTCTTGGATACTAGAATAATAAGGACCACAATAATAGTTTAAATTGATAGACTTTCTGTAGAGGTAGTTATTAACTGGAATTCAGAACAACTTAGTTACTGTGCTAAAATTGTTACATTTTGGACAAGGTCAAAGATATGAAAATTATGCAAGGCTTCCTTCCAGCTCCTGCTCTTCAAAATTTTTCCTTGGCATTCTTTCACTAACATCAGTAGAATTACACAAGGAGTAAATTGTTCTGATCTGACTTGCCATGGAAGCTATGTTTCTGTTGCTTGCAGCTGAAAAGAGGAGTAGAGCAAATAAAAGGCTTTGAAAACATGAAAGGTTTGATAAGTTTCTCATCTTGGAGCCAGTATTAGAAATTAATATATTGGCAAACATCACTGTGCCTGTATGCTATGGGCAGTGGATAAATATTTGCCCTAAAGAATGTTCTGTCTGACAGAATTTGGCTGTATGCTGCATTGCAGTAGTGTCCTGTTTTAAATGAAACAGTAGTATATATGATTTTCAGAGAAGCTATTTTTGTACTGATCAATATTGGCATGGTATTTTGAAAATAGGATAGGAAATACATCACAACAATGTAAAAATGTATTTTCCGCACTGATAAGCAAAAAGTCCTTTCTTTTTCTGCACAGGTCAGCTGTATAAAAAGTTTCCTTTAAGGATACTTAAGACATCAGTGGATTTTATTGTAAATGGAACGTGGTGGAGGGCAAAGCAAAGTACAAGTAAGGACTTCTGGCAAATAGGCTATTGTTTAACAGTTCAGCACTGAGTGAATGTTAGGCAAAGAGAAAAGGAAATTAATGAGAACAGATAAAATGTTTGCATTGCTGCAGAAACTCAGGCAAGCATGAAACTTGTGCTGCTGTTATGTAATGACATATAGGCAAATCAACCTATGTAAATGCCCTTTAATATGTGGTAGTGCTTGGGCACAAGTTTGTGTTAAAGGCTTTGTGTGTGTTTGTTGTTCACAGAATAACAAAAAGTGTAATGTTGTTACAGATGCTTACACGAAAGTCAATAATTAAACCCAGCCATTTATCTTCCATTATGCTTTTTCTCTCTGGCATGATCAAGTTGGCCAGTTCTTGAGTCCTGTTCTTCTGAAACACAACATTTCCGTGTTGTGAAGCATCAAAATTTGAAAGTCCGCCGATTGTATTTTGAGAGGCTATATTCAAAGGGTGCAGAGATAAATAACGGCCTCTTTGTCAGCCCTGACCTTTGTTTTGGGAAAATGGCCAAAGGAGTTGAGACTAAAGGTGTAGCTGTGATGGATACCAGTGTGCTTAGCAAACACCCATGGTGAATAGCTTTGAAACCTCATTTGTCCTGTCTTCTTCCCATAGCCCTTTGTGGATCCTCAGTTTTTGGCACTCCTTACATTCTTGGAGTGTTTTTTACAGGATTTCTTCACTTTCTCTTTAAGGTCGCCGTGTCTTCCTGCTCAGCCTAATATAGCTCTCTCGGTGGTAGTAACAACAGCATCTGTTGTGGAAAATCGGAGGTGTATATGGGTTTAGTTGGTACATTCGGTAGTATTGTCAGTACACAGTAGGAGCAGCCCCCTTTTTTACACTCTTCTTGTTACAGCTCTCATGACCGTACTATAAATTGAAACAGCTTTAAATTTATTCTTGAAAAAGGGACTTTTGGAATAGGAAGAACGTGAAGATGGCTCTAGGCTGTATTTTCTTCTCCAGTTTTGCTTTTATTCATGGATCAAGTACTGCTTGTTTGGACAAGTTCTGAGTTGTCATAATACTGACAGTTTCTTCTCTTTCAATGTAACCATGCATTCAGATGTGGCTAAAGTAGATGGCATGTGGTGATCTTTGTTCATAGTCTGCTGTGCTAAATAAAAGAATTGTGTTTGAAAGTACAATATTTACTTTTCTGGTAATTCAAGATCAGTTTTCAGTGCTGTTTATCCTTAGGTATTTACAAAAACCTACCTGCTGATTAAATAGCAGAGTCAGCTGCTATCGCTTCTGTGGGAATTTAACCAGAAGTTTTATTTCCTCTTCTTTTTGGCTAGTGTATAGTTGCACTTTAGTTTCTCTCCAAATTCTCCCATGGTGTAAAATGCATTGAAAAACAAAACAGCCAAGGCTGAAATGTGTGTGCTTTGATAACAGCTCGTGTATTATTGCCTTTCAGAAGAATATATACCTATACAGTTAGACAAGCAATAAATAAGAAAAATGTTGTGGATCCTAGCTGGCAGATGTTAACTCTGTTCTATCTTTTTTGTCTCTTTCCTGTTAGAAACCAGGTGCTTGAATAGTTTTGGAAGGTATTTAGAGAGCTATAGTATGATAATGTCTTCTGCTGAATATTCCTTGCCGAATGAACAGATACCACTCTTTGGTAAGCTCTGTTAAGGCTTGTTATAATACCTTACAGTGGCTCGAGCTACCTTTAAAACATTCTTGTCCTTTGAATGACCTCAGATGGCAATAGTATGTAATAAGAGTCTTGAACATTCAGTAGAAACAGCAAGACTAGACCATGCGTGTGTGCTGGTTTGAGAAGAAAAACAATAAACCCTATACATTTTTAGAGTAAAGAAAAGTTTTTGGGTGTAAGCTCCAGCTTTTCCATCCACTGACTTCACTGAAGGTGACCGAATTATCCTGTTTCAGGACAACCGGGACATGAGAGCCTCAACAGCTCTCCCTCTCGTGGGCTCTAGTTGTGGAATGTGGATCAACAGAAGCAAGTCTTTGAAGAGCATAAAAGTATTCACAAATGTGGAAAGAAAAGATGAGCAGTGCAAGAAGGAGGTGGTGCGCTTGTTTCAGTGCTAACTTTTTTTTTGTGATTTATTTAGCTATGTAGCTGTGCTGGTGCAAGTGAAGTATCCACCTCCTTTCAGTTTAGTAAATTTTAAATATCCCCTGCTTGTGAACAAAACGGAGCTGTTGAGGGGTGATCCTTGTTTGCAAATACCTTTTATAAGCACTGCCCCAGCAAGTGTAGATAAGTTGTTGTTTTTTTTTTTTTCTTCTCTGTACAGTGTGCTTTCTGCATTTTTAACAATGTCCTTTTAAAGACAGAAGGTGACTGTTCTTACTTGAAATTCATTATTTATTACTGTGTTCTTCACACTTTTGTGATGGAATTCTTTCTCAAAGATATTTTAGTGTAAAGGTTCAGGTGGTTAGTCATCTATTCTAGGTGCAGAAAATAGTGAAATGCAGTATGCCCTTCACGGATCCCAGTGGTTTTAGAATATTCCATGGGTTTCTGTAATGCTGGCATTACAGGCCCAGTCTAGATGTTCTCCCTTCATGGATAGACATGACACAACTGTGAGAGTCAATCATGGAGATGAGAATGGAAAACCATTATGTTGCATTGCTTCTTTGTTAATTGCGTAGTTGTTAATGGATGTGCCTTAAACCTTGGAGTGACAAGTTTTATTGGCCTTGGAACACCAGGGATGAAGAAAGGAAGGTGGAAAGCAATGGAGTATGTGGTAGACAAAGAGGAGGAAAATCAACACAGAAAGAAACTTAACTCAGAATGATTATTCTTTAAAGGAAATACCAAGGCATTCTTTGTCAAAGAAAATGCAGAATAGAGGAGTAAAGAGGGAATAGGGGAGATAAAGAGCTAGGGAAGAGTGAAGAGAAAGGGATGGTAGCATTGACTCTGTAAAGGAAGAGTAAAATATGATAGCAAAGGAAAGGTGACAGTAGCTAAGGCTGGTGAGGGACTTCTCTGTATGTCACCAAGACCTGTGCAGTTGACTGATCTATTTGGGATCCAGTGACTGCAGCCTACAGACTTGCTGGCTCTGTGGCTTTTCTACCAGCTCCCCAAAACTACTGCTGAGAAGTTGTCTTCAGCTGCAGTTTTAGATGTGAGTGACGGAAATGATCCTGCTCTCTAACCATATTATTGTATTTCCATCTGCCCAGCTCAAAATAAAAGGCTTTGGAAATGTTTTCAGGATTGCAGTTTTCCAGACACTGAACCACTATCGTGTTTACAAAGCAAAGCTTTTATTGCTTCCTCCCACGTAAAGGAAGCAGTAATGGGACAGAGATTCATCCCTAGATGACAATGTTTTTTGATTCCAAAACAAACTTTCTAAACAAATGTTTTTAAAACAAAAAAGGACACTTTCTTCTCTGCAGTTGTTGTACTATGTTGGTTTAAAAAAATTTCTCAGATATTATATTAACAAAATCTGACATTTTGTTCTAGCTATCTCTCAGGTTACAGACCGTGAAAATTTTGTGTGCTACTCATATATATAGCAAGGCCAAGTTCTTTTATTTGCCTTCCTACTAAATGATGGATTCCAATATTCGTTCTTAATTATATCTTTTTCTCAATTCTTGCCTTCTCTTTTGAGGGGAAGAATATGGGGGGGAGGGAGAGAGAACAGAAAAGAATTTCTCCTTTTGTTTAAAAAGACATACTAAACAGGGAGGCGTTAGGTTGACACTGTGGTAACAGCTAGAGTTTTAAGTCTGGTTCTTGCAGCAGGATGCTGCAGGGTTCTATGGAGGTTCTTGGTAGTAAATTTTAAACTACCTGTGCTGCTACTTGTCTTATATAGATTAAAAAAATAAAAAATAATCTTTACACAGCAGACAGCAGCATCCCAAACCTGAGCTACCTGTATGCAAAATAGTTCAGGTAATATTAGTAACCTACCTGCTGCAGTGAGGTCCCATATAGCAAGAAGCAAAGTAAATAAGTCCACATTTGGGGTGCAGCAATGAGAAGACTTCCTATACCTGGGCAACCTTTAAAGCTAGCTTGAAGGTTCCTTTTCATCTGCAGAGCTGATAATCTTAGAGCCTTTGCACTGACAATAGGTCTGCTACTAGTGTAACAGCTCTTGCTGTGCCTAGTCAGGACTACTGCTGTTGTTTGCCAGTGTTAGTTGCTCCACATTGTTCCTGAACATTTGTGTGGATAATACCCACATGACTGAAGTCATTCAGGCTCAAGATAAAGCTTTGATTCAAAGCCTTAAACGCTAAGCTGCAATTACATGGTATAGTCCACTAGATTAGTTGGCTGTCCCAGAACACTGTCAAATGCTTTACCTCTAAGCTTACCATTTTTGTGAAGCTTCTGTATTAATCATTGAAGAGAGAAAGAAATAAAAAAAAAACATGGGGAGGGGGGAGCCCAAGCGTTAGTATTTGTCAGAAAAATATTTTTGAGACTAAAATTTGAGATGATGGGGCTAATGTTAAGAATGCAAAGGTTTGAATGTAAGGAGTCAGTAGAAGTTCCCAGATCTTCATTTATTATGGATGGATATGGATCTAGAATACCAGATGCTGCAGAATAAGTTTAATAAACTAAATTATTTAAGTGTATTCTGTTCTTTTAGCTGTATCTTTACATTTGAATAATTTTGCTTAGCATGAATTAGCAGGAGAGTGTGAGCTCGCTGGAATTCCAGGTCTCTTGTCCTGAGCTTATTCTGACCTGGCTGCTGGGATGCAGGAAGGCAGGCCCTGGTGCCTGGGAGATAAGGAGCCTGCCGCTGTCAGAGAGAGCTGTAGCTATTTTCAGATAAGAACTGCCAACATCACAGCCTGTGTGGAGACAGAGGAAGAATCCAATAGGAAACAAAAGGGCTCCAGACCAAGAACTGGCATTGGACCAAGAGGCGCATGCAAGGCGCACGAACAGCGCGGGCATAGCTTGTAAGGGCATAAATGCCCAGGGGTTTCTTTGTTCTGGGTCCACCTCTTCAAGAGGCACCCAGTCTGGGCCATTTCTTTACTGTATCTTTCAATCTATGTCTTTAATTAAATTAGTTCATAAGCACAGATGTCTGTGACTATGCCACAGGAAACCTAGGGTCAAGAACATTTTAACACCAGGTAAGGCCCTGGGCCATGTTTTGCCTTGCATATATACAAGAAATTTGAGAGCAGAACTGGTTTGTAGTAGAGACAGAGAGCACTTGTAGTATGCTGTGGTTTGTGATGCTGTGAGGTTTCCAGACTACTGCACTCAGGAAACACAGGTTGAGCTATTGCGTCAACTAGCATTACCCTTTCCTAGTATTTCATACCCAAAAGAACATTCACATGCCTCAGTGAACTTACGTTTTTGTTTGTTGTCGTTACTTATGTTCATGGAAGCGTAAAACTGAAAATCTGGAATACAATACAAAACTGTGATTTTTGTAACATTAGGTGCCAAAATATCAGGAATTATTTGTGAGAACTTTAATGAGGATTTACTAGTTTTAGTTGGGAAGTATTATAATGCTACCACTTTGGAGTGGGTTTATTTAGATTTTATTTTTACATCAGTTTGGTGTCACAATGAAATTAATGTTTTTTTTTTTAAACATGCATTGCCTACACTGAAGTTCCATAAGGGAATATTAATAGTCCATTTAGTAGCACTGCAATGTGTTTTTGATACAAGGGTGCCTTAGGTGGCACAAGTCCCATAGACCATGAAGCTATTTGAAAATACAGGAATAAAGCTCTTATGGATAGAGTAGATGTGGCTGCTGTTTGGTTTAAAGCATGTTTGCAGTTAGGCATCAGAGGACATTCTAATCTCTGATCTTAGTAGCAGGCCCTGGTGCGAGTAGAGAAGCAATATATCATCACTCTGAAATAAAATGTTCTCAAGTTGTTGGTTTGTGGTTGGTTTTATTAAACAAATGGATCCATTTTTTAGTGTCCTTTTAATTTATTATTTGGAAATTACAAGTTTTGTGCTCTCCACTGATTTTGCTGGGCTTTGACATCTTGCATCTGACGTGCTCCCTATCTAGCTGTGCACGTGCTCTTATCCAGGTGGTATTTCATATGGAAGATTTCAAAGGTCCAGAACAATTTATGTAGAAGATAATACTGTTAATACTGACTTAACAGAAAATGTAATTGATACTGCACAGGTTAGTATGGTGTTTAAAAAAAAAAAGGCAAGTACAGAGCTCTGCAGTTGTGTTCATTCTTGGCAGCTGGGTTAATGGAGACTTGCACCTTTGTCAGCTGTAGTGTATCTGGGTGCATTGATAATGCCATTTCTTTCTTCATTGTCCTCTTATTACTTTCCTTCTTTTGCTATCAATCCAAAGGTAGATTTGAACTCAAAAAGTACTTATTACTCTGCTACACATTGTGTGGAATAATCTAAGGTTTCAGACTTGCTTAGTTTGAAATTCTAGGCCAAAGTCTCACCAGGTGCAGTCTATAACTCCCTTTTTTCATGAATGCTATAGATGTAATATTTTTTATATGGATTAATATTCTTTATGATAACTTGCACTTCACAAATCCATTATAATATCTGAATTTCAATGCTAGACATTCCAGAAATTGCTTTCTTACTATCTTTATTAACTGCTTAGTGAACAGAATTGTGTAGTGAACAGTGTACTTGTTAAAAACAATGCAGATAGTTTTTATTTACTAAAGTGCTCACAGTCTTTAAAAAAGTAAGCTTGAGAAATAATTAGATGGATGTTAAAATGGGGTGAGTCTTTGCCACCTCAGCATGATTCAGGCATCATACTGAAAAGACTGACTCAGCGGCTTTTGCTGATGGAGGAGGAGGGGGAAAAAAAGGAGAGACTTTATGTAGACAGGTACATAAAGTTATTGAGGTATTACTTGAAAGAAATTTTTCCTCTGAAAATAATGACTGGAAAGGTGAAATGTACGTGCTATGCTACCCATGTGTTGGGGTTTAACCTGGCAGCCAGCAGCTAGGACCACGCAGCTGCTCCCTCCTTCGTCCTCACCTCCAATGGGATGGGGAGGAGAATGGACAAAAAGTAAAACTCATGGGTTGAGATAAAGACAGTTTAATAAGACAACAAAGAAAGGAATAATAATGAATGTGCAAAACAAGCAACACCCAACACTTTTTTTTTTTTTTTCCTCCTCGCTGCCCGACAACCGATTGCACAGCCAGACCCCAAGCAGCTATCACAAATTTTGGAGAACTCTTTTTTTGTGGAGGTCGCCAAACTCATGGAAGAGGGTTTTCTGCTCCAAGCCTACCCCCATTCATAAACTGAGCATGACATACGTGGTATGAAATATTTCTGTTGGCCACCTTGGGCTGACTGCCTGGCTGTGCTCCCTCCCAGCGGCTGCACACCCGCTCATCAGCCGAATATGAAAAACTGGAAAAAGGGCCTTCATTTCATAGCAATAACCATTATTAGCATTCTTCTCATACTAAATCCATAACACAGCAGCTACTGGGAAGAAAATTAACTCTATGCCAGCCGAAACCAGCACGCCATACCTCCCCACATACTTCTGTGTAAGAAAGTCTGCATTATTACAGGACCTTCTCTTTCAGCACTTTTGGCAAACTACTGTATTACATTCTATTCTTAAATAGAATAGCCATCATAAGCGCATTGTGGGCTTTCCTGGACTCTTAAATACTGTATATCCATTGATAATATATATGCTTTTCCTAAAAAGTTTATGGACCAAATCCAATACTTAATGAAGTTAAAAGGAATCTTTCCCTGTGTTTGAGCAGGCATTAGATCTTGCCCTAAAATGCTGGGCAAGGACAATATAGTGCTTGTTTAATAATTTTGATGCATTCAGAATCCAAAATAATCATGGCCTTAGTTTCTGGTCAGTGTAAGACACTGTGGTCAGTCTAATGTGACATCCCACAGTTGCTTACCATGGTATGGACCAACATCTAGTATGAACTGGATACTAGGAAGTGGGTAAAGGTTTTCCTGCCTAAGAAAATTATAGGTATTGCTTAAGGGCCATGCCTTCTGTTTGTAGTCTGTGGTCAATGGCAAGACTTCACTGCACCTTCTCGGAGCAACCTAGGAGGAAGGAAGAAGAGGAGCAAAGAAATTTTTCTGTAATATTGGTATATGTGTAACCATAAACATTGTTATTTTTTGTTCGTGAGAAAGAAATACATCATCATGTCTGCATTAAAGAACTTAATAAGAAATGAAATACACAGGCCTAGTCTTGAGCATATTCGTGTTCATGCACTAGTAATTAATTGCAAGCATCATAACTACTCGTGTGAGTGAAAACTCTGTGTGAAAGCAGTGAAATCAGCCTTATAATCTGCATGTTTATCAATTTCAGTGCAACTGAAAGCCCTCATTGTCTCTGTAATGCTATACAAAACCATTCAGTGGTGATTGAAGATTACTTTCTTTTCCTTCCTGTCCCACAGGTACTCTGTGTCTGCATGTTAACGACAATCCTAGGATGTATATTTGGCCTGAAGCCTAGCTGTTCAAAAGATGGTAATTAATATGCCTTGTATTTAGTAATATTTATAAGCAATTCCTTTCTGTTTCTTTTTTTTTCCCTCTTTATAAATTAATTTTGCTGTTATCAGAATGCCACCATTTCTTGCTGCAGGAAGAGGATTAGATGCGTTGCTTGAAGCAGTTTCAGTTACAGGTGAATGAAAATACCAAGCAGTAAACCTCAGGTGTACTCTGTACTTCGGTGTACTTACTTGAGAGGTAGATTTATCCTGGCCCTCAGTGTCTGGTCTGGCAGCTTCCATGTATCCCAGCTGTCACTGTGGTGATGTCACATAGCTGGCTTTTCTCAGTTCACTATAAAAAAAAAAAACCCAACAGTTTCTGTTTCATGTTGTCCTGGAACATTTGTTTTTCATCTTTTCCAGTCAATTATGGAGAAAAAAAAGTTATTTTTCTATTGGTTAGAATTATAGTCTGAAAACACTCCTTGTAGAATTCCTCTGGCTGTTTTCTGTCCTGAAAAATATGGGTTTTTTTTCAATGGTGAAGTTTCTTCAGGTAGAAGGTTACAAAAGATATTTTGAGAAGTTAAGCTTTGCTTTGGGAACAACTATCTAGAGTAATTTCAAAGTTCATCTGTTTAACAAACAGTCCTACAATGATTTTTAACTAAAATTCAGATGATTAATTTCCCACTAGAATCTGTTTAGGGTTTTTTTTCTGATTTTTAGTATAGCTCTGCAATATTGTCTCATTTTTATCTCATTTTCCTAATATGACACACCTCAAGATTCTTGAGAAGAGGAGCCAAATGATGAGAGATTTACCTCACTTCCGTCTGGTGATTGCACGGGAAGAAACAGGCTGACCAGCTACAGATTTGTTTTTAATGCTTCACATCACCAGTTTCTTTTTTTTTCCCAGGCAACCCCAGGCTCGTGGAAGAATGCTATGCCTTTTTTTATGTTAAACGGAACAAAAATTAAGCCAGTGAGCAATACACCCAAGTTCGTATCTCCTGTGTCTGGGTTGGAACAGCCCTTCCTGTGTCTTGACACAGTACCTTAACCATGGTACAGTGGGGTGCGGAACTGGGGCTTCTTTGGTTCCTCTGATTTGTGTGAAGGCAGTAGTTCAAATGAGGCATGAGTATGGGAGAGCTGCAAGCATAGCCAGCGCAGTCTGTATTCCAGTTAATGTTTAATTATTTCTAGAAGGTGGAACACTGTCAGATGTGAAAATGAAGATCAGTGTTCTTTGCGGAAGCATTTCACTGTTCAGGGCACCCTTGTTGAAAACCTAGGTTCGTATTTCCTCCATTAGAGATCTTCTATATTCTGAGTGACTCTACTCACATCTTCTTGTAATACAGAAAGGCAGGGACAGTCACAACTAGAATTGCAGTCTTTTGTTTCACTTGTTTCTGCCAATAATGAAACACCATGTTCCTACTAAAACAGAACAGAACCCTTTGTTCAATATGATGAAAAAATATTGTTGTTCAGCA